GAAAATGTGGTCCAGGCAGTCTTAACTTTTTGAAAATGTAATGAGCTCTAGAAGAACCACCAAAATATGTTCAAAGTAGTAACGATTGTTTCACTAACTCTATTTTTACACTGCCCAGTCATTCTTTGTAACTAAGTCTTTAAAGTTAGAATGTTTTTAATTAGTGAGAAGTGGATACAACAAATGCTTTAAAGAGCTCAACAGTAAACTAAAACTGGTATTTAATATGAGAGAAGTGAAGACAGAGTGATTTGGTAATCAAGAAGCACACCTATTCAAAATAGCTATAGGGCCTTTTGGTTAAAAAAAAAAAAAAAGCAAATATGCCTGGTCTATGTGGCTCAGTGATTGAACATTGACCTATGAACCAGGAGGTCATAGTTCAATTTCTGATCAGGGCACAGGCCTGGGTTGAGGGTTTGATTCCCAGTAGGGGGCGTGCAGGAGGCAGGCAATCAATCATTCTCTAATCATCAATGTTTCTATGTCTCTCTCCCTCTCCTTTCCTCTCTGAAATAAATTAAAAAATATATTACAAAGAAAATCAAATATCAGTTGTTTTGTCACCATCCAGACTTTCTCTATTACTCTGCTCACTCAGAATATGAAGAGCTCACTGGGAAAGCTTCATTAATTCAGAACAATCAATGGGAAGAGTACTTTCAGTTCCTTGAAATTGATAAAAAAATTTGAATTCAAATTTTCTTTTAAATACAGATGCTTCTAGATTTTTTCCTAATGAATAGGGAAATTACTTCTTGTTAAGGTACCTCTTTTTAAACAGGTGGAAAATGTGTTCTTTTAAGTAATGTGTCATAAAATTGTTAATCCTATATAATAAAAGGCTAATATGCAAATCGACCGAATGGCAGAATGACCAGTCACTATGATGCACACTGATCACTAGGGGTCAGACGCTCAATGCAGGAGCTGCCAGATACCTTGAGTCGGGTGCATGGCTGGCAGGTACAGCAGCAAAGGCAGGAGCCTCTCCTGCCTCTGTGGCAGTGCTAAGGATGTCCGACTGACGGCTTAGGCCCGCTCCCCATGGGAGCTTAAGCTGTCAGTCAGACATCCTCCAAGGGCTCCCAGACTGCGAGAGGGCACAGGCTGGGCTGACAGACAACCCCCTCCCACGTGCATGGATTTTGTGCACCAGGCCTCTAGTTTTATTATAAAAAGACAAGCACAGACAACCTACACTCTTAAAAGACACTACAAAAGGAAAAAGCTTTAGTCCAGCTTTTTTCCAAATTATATTTCCAAATATAAAAATTGTATATAATTTTCTAAATTATATTTCGAGGTTAATAGAGTTTTATTGCTTTTTAAAAAGTACACCTCACTAACAAGATTCATTAAACAGGAAGACTTTTAGACATTTAAGTTCTTCCTCACTAGCTGGGAATATCAGAAAAAAAAAATTCTTAAAAATCTAGTTATTGCGTATTATGTGTAGAAGCATTCTTTTTGAATTTTGAACTTTAAATTATACTGTTATAGAGTTTAGCCACTTTGTGTTTACGTCAGGGTGAAAGGTATGACTGGGAGAGAGCACAAGGGAACCTCTGGGCACTGGAAATACTGTATATTTTAATCTGGTGGTGGTAACATGAGTGTGTCCATATGTAAAATTTTATCTAGCTTTGTACATTAAAATTTTTATTTTATTCTTAAACTAGAGGCCCGATGCACGAAGATTCATGCAAGAATGGGCCTTCCTTCCCCTGGCTGCCGGCACCACCTTTGCTCTGGCCCGGAGCCGCCTTTCTGCCTTCCCACGCTGCCCAGAGGCCCAGAGTGGCTGGGCTGGTGCAGTATGCCTGTGTCGTCGCCATGGCAATGATGCAAGCGTCCCGCCCCACCCCCAGCTGCTTTGCACCTGCATATGCAAATTAACCCGCCATATTTGTTGGGTTAATTTGCATACTCACTTCTGATTGGCTGGTGGGCATCCAAAGGTACGGTCAATTTGCATCTTTCTCTTTTATTAGTGATTTTATTTTGAGAGGACATTTGTTTGTTTTTTTGTGTGTGGTTTTGTCAATCCTAACCCAAGGATATTTTTCCACTGATTTTGTTTGTTTTTAGAAAGAGTAGGAGGGAGGGGGAGAGACAGAGAAACATCGATGAAAGAGAGACACAGCAATAGATGTAAGAGAGAATGGCAATCAGTTGCCTCCCACACCTGGGGCCAGGGATTGAGCCTGCAACTGAAGTGCAAACCCTTGACTGAAATCAAACTTGCGACCCTTCAGTCTGTGGGCCCAACACTTTGTCCACTGAGCCAAACTACCTAGGGCTTAAAATTTTTTAAAAAATTGATTTTAGAGAGAGGGCGAGACAAACATCCATTTGTTGTTCCACTTATTTATGCATTCATTGGTTGATTCTTGTATTGCCCTGACCTGGGATTGAACCTGCAACCTTAGGGTATTGGGACAATGCTCTAACCAACTGAGCTACCCAGGCAAGGCTAGACCTAGCTATACATTTAAGATTTGTGCACTTTATATATGATGTCACAAGAAAAAAGTAAAAAAAAAAGTGTTTATCTCCTTTATGAAATGCCTACCAACTATTTTGCAGTGGATCATTAATATAATTTTATAAGTCAAAATGTATAGGGGAAAATAATTTATCTGATGCTCATGGCATAAGGACTGCTAATCACATATAGGTAGATTAACTATATCTAAAGCTGGATTAAAGCTTCAGTGAAGAAAGGTCACTGGTATTGTATCAGAAATGGTGTCAGGAAGAATACAATGTATCAGTTTAACTGCAAAGGAGAGAAATAATTAAAGTTCAAATAACAACTAGAAGATCAAAACATCATCAAATAAGTGACATGACTATGGCATGATTTGATTTATGATTATCCATGCTTTTTATTTATGCTTTTTACTGTTTGGTTGTTAGTCATTGTATTGCTTGGACTTCCAAAGGGGGAGGGGGGGGTGGAAAGGAAAAGAATGAAAGTTAATGTTTTGTTACTTATTTTCAACTATTGCTTTTAGCGTGCTAAAAAGCTGAAGTTAGGACTGGATTTAAAAATTATGCATTCTACTTTCTATCTACTATGGGAGAAAAGAGTTGGTTTATGTATGCAAGAAATATAATCACTGATTCTGCATCAAATGTTTTTACTTTTGCTGATAACTAGTTAATTCTCATCACCTCCAAAGCCTTTGAGAGGATTAGCTGCATAGACCAATATTGTTCTATGTCAGTATTAAGTATATGATGTCACCTTGCTTCCTCCCCTCCTCAAGCTATTTTTTTTTTCAGGATGGGGAGGGGGGCCTTTTCGACAATTCTCAAAATTCTGTGGCTTAAATACCACTAGCTGACACACATGATTGACAACCTTACACTACCAAACCTGTTTGAAATGGGTCAAATACCTAAGCTCCCCAGAACAATGCAATCCAACCAGTAATTCCCCATAAAAGAGAAAGGGGGTGTGATTAGCTTCCAGCTATTAAACAAGTTATTGCAAAAACAGTTTGGTGGTTTGTTTCTGCAATAGGCACAGATTCAGCTAGTATTTTCTCTTAATTAGCTCCAAAAAAAAAAAAAAAAAAAAAAAAAAGAGAGACTAGGCTGCAAGAGGTAGGAAAAATAGCCAAAGCATGAAGCAACTGGGGCAAACATGAAGGGCTTGATGGAGGTCTTTCTATTGACCCCAGGCATTGGTGATTGATTATTAACCCTGCTGGGGAACGATCGAACGGGATTTGTGCGAGGCTCATCGAGCCACAGGAAAGGAGATGCAGGAGGGAATATAAGCTTCTAATAAAAGAAACGCAGCAACAATAGCAGAGGCACAGCTCTGCCTGGTGACGTAATGGCTGGCAGCAGTCCAGCCTCGGCAGAGCTGCTGCTACCTCAGCATCCAGCCCCTCTCGGCGCAGTCCGGCTTCGGCGGCGCTGCCGGGGGCTGCTACTTCTGGCGATGCCACCCCCCTTACCTTCGAGGGCTAGAACCCCGAACAAAGGGTCGTCCTGCTGTCTCAAGTTGGGAGAACACACACTCGTACTCCCTCCGCCGCCCCCCCCCCCGCACCCCCAGCCCCTCCACAACCCAGTCAATCAGCTGCTCAAGTTTAGGGAGAGCACACCCGCGCGCCCTCCAGGCGTGCCTCAGTTTCCCCAGACTGGTCTCGGGTCCGCATCTCATCAACGCCCACCCCCCCACCCCCGCCCCGTCCCTAGTCAGAGTTGCTCGCGGGGGTTGGGGGTGGGGGGGCGCTCGCCCGGCCGGCCGGCCCCGCACGCCGGTCCTCCCGCCTTACCTCCGCCAGGTAGAGGTTGAGGAGACAGAGCGTGGAGAACTGGAGGCAGGAGGGGAAGCAGTAGAGCAGCCAGTGGGGGAAGAAGTGCAGGCGGGCGGGCGGCCGGAGCAGAGGCAGGGAGCCGCTCAGCGAGAAGGCGGCGGAGAAGAGGGTGGTCCTGAGCGCTGCCCACAGGAGGCAGAGGAAGAGGCAGAGGCTCTGGTAACTCAGCCGCCGCTCGCGGTACAGCAGCAGCCGCCACAGCTGCAGGTAGGCAAAGGCGAAGAGCGCGGCGTAGAGCAGGGCGTGCAGGACGCTCAGCGCCAACTGCACCGAGCCCGGCACCGCGGCGCCCGAGGCGGCCGCGACGGCGCCTTCCCCTCCGCCGCCCTGGCCCGGCGTCGAGGGCTCGCGGCCGGCCACCGGAGCGGCGGCAGCGGCGGCGACCACGGGACCCGGCACGGACACCCTCATGAGGGGGCTGGAGGGAGGGCGAGGGCGCGCGGGAAGGAAGGGGCCGGGCTCGGGGCTGCCGTCGAGGGGGAGAAGGATGGGTGCCTCACCCCCCCACCCACCCTAACCTCCAACCCCAGGAAGCGCCGTGACAGGACCCGGAGCCCCGCGCCGAGCAGCCGCGGCTCCCCCGACCCCGCCTCCTCTCCCCGCCCCCCCCGGGGGTCTCGGCTCCTCCTGCTGCGGATCCGCTCGGTCGCTGCAAAAAACAACTCTCGGCTGGAGACAATCAGCTGAGAAACCCGAGCATTTGAGGCGCTCGCTCCGCACCTTGGGCTCGCGCCGATTGGGCCAGGCGGGCACGCCCCCAGCGCGGCGAGCTCGGACGCCCACGGGCCGCGGGACCCGTCGCTCCGGGGATCCAAGCTCTGATTGGACGCCCGCGCTCTCCGCCTTCTCCCCCTCCGCGCACTCCCCACCCACGCTGCCGATTGGCCCAGCAACTGCACGGCCCGTTCGCACCGGCGGGAGGACTCGGTGGTCGCTCGCCACCTGGGGCGGGTCTCGCTCCGCCCTCCGTGCTTCCCATTGGTTGGAGAGGTCTCACGTCGGGAGCACGAGGAGGGGGAGGAGCCTCCGGGATTGTGTGTTTTATGTGTGTGTGTGTGAGTGTGTGTGTGTGTGTGTGTGTGTGTGTGTGTGTTTGCCTGCCCCGCAGGCCCATTGCACTGAGCGGTGGCGGCTGTGGGCGCTGCACTCTCGCAAGTGGGCGTAGCGAGCGCGTATGCGGGACGAGCGGGGCGAGGACCCGCCTTCTGCTTCTCCTTCGCCGGGCGCGAGCCGGCGGCCGCGCGCAGGCAGGTAGGTGGCCGCGCGGGTCCTCCAGGCCAGGGCTCTGGGCTCTGCCTGTAGGAATGGGGGTTCACCCAGGCGGCTCTCCCCCAGCAAGGGCCACCCCGCTGAGCTCGGGTTTGGCTTAGAAGGGGCCTCCCCGGGGTTCTGAGGAGGGGCATTTTGCTTCCTTCCTTCCCGGCTTGAGCGGCGAGGAAAACCTGAGCCCTGTAGGGGGAGCGGGAATGGAATGAGGCGAAGGGGGAACCCCGTTCTAAGTAAGGCTCGTTCCTCCCTCGGGAGCCGCCTTTAGAGAAGAGTGGTATGAGGATGAGATGGAGGACCCAGCAGTGTGAAAAGGGGGGACGTGGCCCTTTGAAACTTAGAATGTAGACAGATGCTCTGGGCATAAGTTTAGGGAAAAGGCAGAAATAGAACTCCGTGTCTCATATGGATTCTAGAGGAAGAAGCGGAATGGTCTGTGCTCCCTCAATTCCACATGCATTCCTCAAACCTTCGTCCTGTCTGTGGTAAACCAGAGACACAAAACAAATGTTCTGTGACTGCTGTAAATGAGTGAGGAATGAATAAATCTCCAGCGTGTATTGGCTGACACATACCATTTCTTGACTACTTCTTTCTTTCTTTCTTTTTTTTTTTTGGTGATTGCTAATAAAATAAGCCGAATAGTGTATTATGAAGAGAAAATAATTTGTATTCTTCTTAGAATGAGCGACACTCCACAAATTCAGTATCTGAAAGGTACTGGCAATATTTACTGACGCAGCCAAGACCCAGCCTTTCCTGTTTCACTATCCTTCGCTCTAATGCTTTGCCCAGGAAGAGTGTTGCTACCTTCTTTCCTAGCTAGTGATCCACAGAGAACTTTAAAGTCTGTTTTGTACCCCAGGCACCGGATGCTGGTGTGTTTTGGGTTCTATATCACCCCTTTCTCTATCTCTATCTCTATCTCTATCTCCATCTCCATCTATAGATCTATCTATTTATCTATCTAATTGATTTCAGAGAGGAAGGGAGAGAGAGAGAGAGATAGAAACATCAATGATGAGAGAGAATAATTGATTGGCTGCCTCCTTCAGCCCTCTACTGGGGACCGAGCCCACAGCCCAGGCATGTGCCCAGATGGGAATCCTACCTGGACTTCCTGGTTCATAGGTTGCGGGGTGGGGGCTGTATTGGATTCTTTCTAGCTGTGCTGACACACTGATAGATGTGTGGGCCTAGCGCTGTTACGTGGTATCTCACAGGTGGAACAGTCAGCTGAGCAGTTGTGCAGTGCAGCCTACAGTCGGGTACAACTTGCTGTAAAGAAGTTCACAGGCCGGATCCGACAACGCTTTTGCGAAGGATCGCATGTTTATTGGAGTGTAAGAAATTGACCTAATGGATTCCTAGAGCATGTGGTGAGGGCCGTACAGTTCTACTTGAGAGGGGACAGAGCTCGATGGCAACAGTGAGTTAACTGATTGCAGTTATGTGCTGTAGCACATAAATTAAGCATGAATTCAGAGTTATGGGATTTGAGTCACTTGTCAAAATCAGGGGACCCTCTTGTTCTCTGGCATGGCCTGTTTTTTGTATCTTTTGTAATCAACGAGGTGCAAATTTTAGGCCATGAATAGAATTTCGCTATGAAGTTTTTTTCTTTTTCTCCTATATTATTTACTTAAAATGATACTTAACACCTGGATAGTACCCATACTAGTTTTAGGTCTTTGATTGTAAGACTTTTTATTCTAGTGTCATTGCAACTCTGGATACCCTCCTCTTTAAAAATATATATATTTTTTTATTGATTTTAGAGAGGAAGGGAGAGGGAGAGAGACATACTGAGAGGGAATCATTGATTGGCTGCCTCCTACAGGGATAGAGCTAGCAACCTGTGGATACCCTCCTCTTTTCTCCTTTCTTTAGGTGTATGTGTGCTAGGGGGTAGGGATGGAGATAAAGAATTTTGCTCCAATTATCTTGAAATGGCTGTAAAGTAGAGAGATGTTGACAATGCTGATTCCTTTGGTTCTTAAATGTTAAGTTGTGATGAGATCTAATCAGCATTTTATTTGAGGTTCAATGAGCAGGTTCTGTTCTACAGTAGCAGCATTAAACCTTAAGTAAGCTAATTTTTGACAAAATACTCTTACAGGAACTTTGTAAGCATTAAGTACCCCATTTGTTGCAAAATATCAAACATGTCTTTTTCCCAGAGAATGATGCCCACAGATCTTGGTATAATTTGCTTAATGTTTACAGTTGTCAATTTCTTCTTTTTGTTCAGAGGGAAAACCGTTACTTTTTTTGGTTAATTGAAAGGGAAATTTAGGCCTATAAAAGACAAATGAATCAGTGGCCTTCTAGAAAAGCTTGTTGCTAGATATTTTAAAACTGGAAATGTGTCCAAATGCACAATGGTTGGATATTGTTCTAGGAGGGCAGATTCCTTTAGCACAATGGTCTCTCAAACATTTAAAGCTGAACCGTTTGCCGAGTACTATGTGTGGGACCCAATTTCAAAATGGGATTGTTCTGACTGGAAAGGGCCACCAGCTGCTCCACCTGTCTACAGAACACATGAAGGTGAATCTTTGCCCCCTTCCCTCACTAGCAGGAATATCAGTGTTTTTCCCTTGAGGTACATTGTCCTCATTTCCCTCCGGGGGCTCTTTCAATATTTTGGTGCCAAACAAAAACTTTTGTTGCCCTTAGCATTTTATTTGCAGATGTGTGAAATTTCAATAAAAGCTTCTAAACATTTACACTCAATTTCTATGTTGATCTCATTATTATAGACCAGTAACAGATAGTTCATATGCTGACACATGCTCTAGAGCAGTGGTTCCAAACTCTTTTATGGCCATGTCCCACCTAAACATCTCTAAAATCCTGATGCTCCCCCTGTGACATATACTTATTATTATTCAAAAAGTAAACTTTCCTGGAGGAAGCCTAAAAGGCCATTAACTTGGTCTAAACAAGCTTCCCAAAGAACATGGCATCCATGAAAGAAAAAACATAAAAGAATGAAAGGACAGTTGAAGTACTGAGGAAGAAGTCACTAAGAAATTATTTAGAAAATGATAATACAAAGCGATATGAAAAAATAGCAAATAAAGTTTCAAAACATATAATAGAGAACTAAAATGCATAAATATGTCACAATATATATTTATGTACTGTAAATGAGGCCCTTAGGAGCATAAGAAATGCAAAAAATTCACTGTTAATAACTCATTCTCGATTGCCCCCCTTAAAAATCAAATTGCCCCTGTGTGGGGCATGTGCCCCATGTTGGGAACCACTGTTCTAGAGCATAGTTCTCCATGGTCATTGGCTTTGCCCTGCAGGAGGTCCCTTTCATTTTTATTATCCTTGACCACATCTGAAGTTGGCTTTGGAGGTTATGAGCTCTTCCCATGGCTGAGCAGTTTTTTCAGCTTACCGCCTGACCCCACAAAGGTGGGGACTAAAGGATTATTTTAAGGTTTGAATCACTAGTCTCTTGGATGGTGGTTCTTCTTTGAGTACTTTTCTTTTAATATTTCATTAGGTACAACCAACAGCAACTCTCACATAGTTCTCATCTTCCCGTCTTCTAGCCTCTTCTATTAAGGTATAAATACATCCATTAGCCCCCTAGATACATTCTCATAAATTCATTAGGTATGTGCCACTTCCAAATTATTGTAGTGACAATTTCATCAAATGTTTTGTTACTCCTTAATGTGGATCATTTGCTGAGCTCCTGTCCCTGATAAGTTTCCTTGGGGGAAAAAGAAAAAGCTTCCTTGTTGCTTGATCCCTGATCCAGTATTTTGGAGTTCTTGTTATGGCAGCATCTCACTTCTAGTTTGTATATCAATGAAGATAAATTAGATTGTTCTGCAATAATAAGTCCTAAAATCTCAGTGGCTTAAGACAACAAGGTTTATTTCTTCCTATGACACATGCTCATTGCATATCAGTTGTGGGTTCTCTTTGTTGTGTTCATTCTGGGACCGATGCTGATGACAGCCACCACTTGAGCATTTTTAGTGACTGTGGCAAAAGAAAATAAAGCCTGGTATATTGCACACTAGCTGTTAAAACTGTTGCCTGAAAGGGACATACCACGTTTGCTCACATTTTATTGGCCAGAATAAGTCACATGGTTATCTCAAACGTTGCTAGAGGTGGGAAGTACAGGTAGGTAATAAGTGTAATCCTACGTTATACCTGCCAGGAAAACTGGAACTGTTACCCCATGCTAATGAGCTACCTCAACAAATTGACGAGGTCAAATTTCTCTCAAGGTACACAGTGTACTCATCACTTTGTTCTGATTTTTTTAGTTTTTGAAGCATTAAAGTACTGTTTTCTGTTCCATTTTCTAATAACTGGAGGAAAAGTCACCAAGTGCCTTCTGTATCTTTGTTTTTATTCTATTCTCACTGGATGTTCTCTTTCCCCACCACTTGCCACCCATACTTACCTTCTCTTTAGTTTAAATATCTTTTTATGAGGAGATCATGTCTCTGGACAAAGGCATTTTATTCATGTGCAATTACCACTCTTCTGTGGCCCCACGGGGTAGGTTGGGCTAATGTGAATAGAAGCTATAAACGATTTCCTATCACATAGATAATTTAAAAAAAAAATCAAAGTGAAAAGATGCACTGTTTAAAGAAGGTTCTGCCCTAGCCGGTTTGGCTCAGTGGATAGAGTGCAGGCCTGCCGACTGAAGAGTCCCAGGTTCGATTCTGGCCAAGGGCACATGCCTGGGTTGTGGGCTTGGTCCCCAGTAGGGAGCGTGCAGGAGGCAGCCGATCAATGATTCTCTCTCATCATTGATGTTTCTATCTCTCTATCCCTCTCCCTTCCTCTCTGAAATCAATAAAAATATATATTTTTTAAAGAGTCCCTTTGGTGTCTTTCTCCCTCCAATGTCTTATTCCTTAAAGGCATTTACTTTCAACTTGTTTTCGGCATTGATATTCCTGCTTCTAATAAACTTGGCTTTTGGTCTTGTGAAAGATTAGTATTTGGCTCTTTTATCCCTTTTCTCGCCCTGTCTGCATGAAGCCTTACTTTCTACCTCCCATCTTCTCAACTGTGGTTGCCATAGATTTGGCTATATCATTATTCAGTATTTATTTTGTTATGACCATGTAAACTCTATTTCAAGTTGACCTGTGCAGCAGTATCTGCTTTAAGTAATTCCTTAAATAATCAATTTATCAAAGATGGGATAAACTGCAAGGATACCTATGAGTTCTTATCTCTAAGAATATGTAAGAATAATCAGCAACATCACTAATTGTCCAAATTCACAGTACTTTGACATGTGTAATCTCATTTGTCCAATGATAGATGTGGGAAAGTATTCAAGTCTTGACTGTGCAGTTAGAACTTTTTGTGCTACAAAATACATTCTAGGGGAAAAGAATCATATGTTAACCCTAATGTCCAATTTAATGTTAAAATAATTGAATTGTAACCACAGAGACAGGAAAAATGATATTTTATACTGACTCTTTCAATTGTGCTTTCATTTAAGTATTTTACCTTTTACTTAGGTTGGAGTTATTTCATTAGTATATAATTATTCCCTTAGTCTCAGGATGCATGCATTTTCCCCATCGCCAGAATATAAAGAAAATCTTGGATGACCTATTTTAAACCATTCCCATTAATATAAAGTCACTTTAAAATATGCTGCCTTAAAATGGCTGTACTGTAGAATCAATTTTAATGTCAAGGATACCCCTTAATTAGATCATTAAAATTACTTTTTTTAAGATACTGCTCACAGTCCTCACTCCTCATTCTACTTGAGTTTTGAACTCTTGGCTCATTATTAGAAATTGATGGCAAATTCATTCACTGTTTGATATAAATTAGCTCTAATGAAAAGAATATTAGGAAGTAATCATGAGTAATTAGCTCCTTCTTTAGATATACCTACTTCTTAGGGAGAAGTGTTATATGCTTATTGATAATATTGAAAGACCAGAGTAAATATTCAATTTAGTGTAATTTTTTCCTAATTTTTTCATTCTTTTATCTTTTTATTCTTTATGGAAAAATTCTACCCCTATCCTTATGGGCAATTTTTGCTTTTTCCCCTTGTGTCCTGTTTTAAGATAGTGATCTTTTGTTTGAAAAGAAAAATTAAAGTAAATTCTCACCTACACCTGTGGGTATATGTTTACCTTCTAGAAGTATATTTTTATATTATGCAAATTTTCCTATCTTCTTTTAAACATAGATAATATAGATTACCAATGGAAGAGCTTCCTGAAAGAAGATATTGTTTAAGAGAAATTTAAAAGTAGCAAAACAGAAGAGAATTGAAAGCAGATACAGAGGACAGCATGGAAGTAAGTACAGCATGAAAGAAGATGCGAAGAGGATATCTAGAACAAATCTGAGTTCAGAAAAGAGAAGTGATTTGAAAAGATATTTGAATTTCTAAGCTGTATAAATAAATCAAAGTCTTGAGCATTAAAAATGTGTATTAAGAAGGACTGTTAAGTAGTTAGGGGGTTTAAAGTAAAAAGAATGTAAACATAGTAGACATATATTTCGATGTCTCACTCCCATGTTAATGGTATTAAATAGCTGTTTGTGTGTTAATTGTAAATCCACTCTTGGTAGGGAAGGATAAAATGCCCAATTTAAAAATTAATTGGATGTTAGATAATAAATTTTAGAACCCTTAAAAATGACAATTAGCTTCACATACTCCAGTAACTACCTATTAAACTTAAGATACTTAGTATATTACATTTTCTTGATATCTTTTGCAAGTATCAAAAATCAATAGCATTATCAAATCAATGTCATTATATATCATCTTAGATATTTTCTAGAAAGGAATAATAAGGTATCAAAATCAAATATATAAAAATAATGCCTCATATTATTCTTTTTTGCAGATTTTACTTCATTTATTTATTTAACAAATTAATTCAGCAAAACTTTATTGAACACCTACTCTTGTCAGGTATTGTCTGAGGCAACAGAACACAGCAGTGAACAAAGCAGACAGAATCTCCTGCTTATATATAACTACAGCTGATGATGTCTTTTAGTTTCGATGGATTTAGAGTTGGCATCTCTTTTGTCATGATGTGCATTGTTTATAAGTCAGCAGTCAACTCTCTACCAGAACTGAGTCCTCAGAAATATTTTAGTACCTTGCAAGCAGGAAAAGCCTCTTTAGCTTATTTTTGTCAAGCTGGTAAGTATTTTTTATATCCTGACTTATGTGACTTTTCTATTGCTATTTAATCAGTATGCTCAGTGGGAACTTATTGTTAGGCTTTAATTTTAAGAATTTATCTTTCCTAAGAGGTAAATCATTAAACATTCATAAAACATTTCTTATTTTAGATTCTCCAAGTACCTCTGTATTTCTTGAAGAACTGAATAAGGCTGTTAAACCTCTCCAGGACTATGGAATCTCAGTTGCAAAGGTAGAAGGATATTTATGTTGATAAATTATTAGTGACAAACATTTTACATCTAAATGACTATATAAAAATGCTTATGTTGTTTTCTGCCTTTTTTTTTCATAAGAATAAACAAGCACAGACGTTCCAGATTATTGTATAAGTTAATAAATATTCAGGAAAAAAGCCGTTTGAAACTCTTTAGCACAGCATTTAATTTAATTTTGTAAACTATTCTATTGGGACTGTGGTGTCAGTTTTCAATCCTATAGTTAGACTTTTGTTTTGCCTGACAAATATATCACAACTCAATAATTTATTAAATTTCTGTTAGCACAAATGAAGGTGCTGTAAGTGGTAGGAAGGTGTAAGATCTGTGGGGTCAGACCGGACCTGGGTTCAGCAAGCTCAGTACTTGAGTTGTGTTTTTATTAATAGATATATTTTTATTGATTTCAGAGAGGAAGGGAGAGGGAGAGACAGAAACATCAATGATAAGAGAGAATCATTGATTGGCTGCTTCCTGCACACCCCCTACTGGGGATCGAGCCCGCAACCCTGCATGTGCCCTTGACTGAAGTTGAACCCAGGATCCTTCAGCTCCCAGGTCAATGCTGTATCCACTGAGCCAAACCAGCTAGGGCTCAGTACTTGAGTTTTGGCCAGGAAAGAATTCAGAGAACATCTATAATAATAAAAGGGTAATATGCTAATTAGACCGGACATCATTCCAGATGTCCTTCCTGATGAAGCTGGGGCCAGAGGGAAGCCAGCCTGGGTCCCGGGTGCTGGAGGGAAGCCGGTGCCAGCAGCTGGGGGAAGGAAGGCCTACTCTTTTTTTAAAATATATTTTTATTGATTTCAGAGAGGGAGAGAGAGAGAGAAACATCAATGATGAGAATCATTGATTGGCTGCCTTCTGCACAGCCCCAAATGGGGATCGAGCCCACAACCCGGGCATGTGCCCTTGACTGGAATCGAACCTGGGACCCTTCAGTCTGCAGTCCAATGCTCTATTCACTGAGTCAAACCAGCTAGGGCAGGAAGGCCTACTCTTGCACGAATTTTCATGCATCGGGCCTCTAGTTTATTTATAAAAATCACAGAGGAAAAAGTAATTAGTAGGAGAATGGACTTAGGAAACAATTTAGAGGTAAAGGAAGGGCCCTTGGAGTGTGGGAGTGAGGAAGGTAAAAGTAATATGCCTGGGGGGAAGGAGAGAGAGAAGGGAAAGGCAGACCAGTGTTCCTGGAGGGAGAGCGCACTGGGTCCTCAGTCCTAAGGGCTTTAAGGGTAGAGATTTTAGGGGAGGTCCCAGGGGGAGATTTTAATAGAATATTCAGCAGGTGTCCGGGTATGTCATTTCAGGGTCTAGGTCTCCCCTGATTGTGATTGTTCAGCACCAGGGCAGGAGGTTATTATCTAAAGCAGCTGGTCCTGAGTTCAGCCATAGTGTTGCTTATCTGGTTTTGTTGCTTTTCTGGGCCTGGAGCTGAAATACAACTGAGGCCTAAATATTATCTCTAGGGAGGAAAGATCAGCAGGTCTAAACTGAATGACCAGTGATATGCTAGGGGAGGAAAGGTCACTTTGGGGGCAAGATCCACCCTACAATTGCCCTTTGCTAGGCACCTAGGACTTTCCCCACTTTCCTTTTGTACCTGGCCCATTGTTCTTGCTCTGCTCATGTCTGTCTAATTGCCTACCACAGAGGTTCCAAAGTTGAGGTACCTGAAATATTTTTCCTTTTCTGTTTTAAGTTTTTATAATTACTTATGTTGCAGTTTCATTTATTTTTAGGAAAGTTAAAACAACCTAACTTGAAATTATATACTTACTTTTTTCTCAAAAAAATTTCAAACTTGCCATGGAATATTATGGAAAATTTCCACAAGCATCATGGATTAGATAGGTACATAAGCCTTTCATTTAGTTTAAGCTTAGAATTTGTACCTTAGAAAACTGAATGAGAAGTAACCCAGGGATTATTAAATTCTTTCAGATTAGTGCCTACCTGACTTTCTCTTGTCGATGTAAGAAATGTCCAAACCTGTGGAGAATTGTTATGAGTTTATTTGAGCCAAACTGATGACATGCCCTGAGGAGCAAGATTTCAAAAGCTCTGGCCCTAGCCCCTTTGGCTCAGTGGATAGAGTATCGACTGGCCTGTAGACCTAAGGTACCCAGGTTCGATTCCAGCCAAGGGCATGTACCTGGGTTGCAGGCTCCTCCCCGGTCCAGGCCCTGATCAGGGTATGTGCAGGAGGCAACCAATTAATGTGTTTCTCTCACATTGATGTTTCTCTCTGTCTTTCCTTCTCTCATCCACTCTCTAAAAATCAATGGAAAATACCCTTAGGTGAGGATATATATATTTATTTTAGAGAGGAAGGGAGAGAGAGAGAGAGAAACATCAATGATGAAAAAGAACCATTGATTGGCTGCCTCCTGCATGCCCCGCACTGGGGATTGAGCCCACAATCTGGGCATGTGCCCTTGACCAGAATTGAACCTGGGACCTTCTCAGTCTGCAGACTGATGTTCTATCCACTGCGCCAAACTGGCTAGGGTAAAAAAAAGAAAGATTTCAAAAGCTCTGGAGAATAAGTTTCTTTAATGCATTTGAAATTCAGGAGGGAATTTAAGGATGATTACATGGGGAGAAAGTAAGGTGGGGATTGGATTACAGGATAGTTAATATTATGTGCTTTCAACACTTTAAAAGGAGGGGCTAAAAAGGTGGTGATATTAACACAAAGCTGTGTTAATCTTGATTCACAGAAACAAGGACAGGGCTTGCTTAAGGCAACGATCAATCTTTTACTAAAGTTATATGCCTGGGGTGTGACTACCCATCATGACCTCCCCAGTTATGAATTTATGATCAGTTCACCTTGTGAGGTTACTTTCCATAGAATTCCTTTTTCTCCTATACTGTGTACATTTGTTCTTAGTTCATTAGCCTTCCTCCTCCAAGAGATGGCTATTGTCCCTCTTGGTCTCTGCAGCTAGTTCCCAGGGCAGAAAGGTTAACTAACCTTGGCTATTAAAGAGATATTGTTCCCTCTACGCATAGAACACTTTTGACACCAGATATGTATGTTTCCACACCAAGCAATCTAACATTAATTGCCCAGAGTTAGCACAGACCCCCCAGGGTAAGGGTTCAGTCTTGTAAGACCACCTGTCACTTTAGATGCCAATCACGAGTAGTGTGTCTCCAGGTTGCCTACAACTTCTGTAGGACTTGGCTGCAAATTGGGTGTTCTCACCATCCCCTCCTGAGATTGGATAATTTGCTATAATGGTTCACAGAACTCAGGGAAACACTTTACTTGCTATTGCTGGTCTATTATAAAGGCTATCTCAGGATCAGCCAAGTGGAAGAGATGCATAGGGCAAGGTCTTGAGCACAGGAGTTTCAGTCCTAGTGTAGTTTGGGTGTGTCATTCTCCTGGGCCTTGGATGGTGTTCACCAACCTGGAAGCTCTCTAAATCCTGCTGCTTAAATTTTTATGGAGGTATCATTATGTAGGCATGACAGATTAAATCATTGGCCATTGGTGATGGACAGTCTCCTGCATGGAGGATGGGAGGTGAGGCTGAAAGTTCCAACCCTCTTTTTTTAAGAAAATTAAATTTATTGGGGTGAAATTGGTTAATAAGATCATATAGGTTTCAAGCGGCATTTCTATGTTACATGATCTGTATATTGTATTGTGTGCCAATTACCCAAAGTCAGATAATCTTCCATCACTATATATTTGGCCCTATTTACCTTTACTAACTCCCCCCACCCCAGCTCCCTTCTCTGTGGTATCCACTACAGCCAAGCATGTTAAACTCGCAGCCGGCAGGCCGCATCCCTCTTTCAACTACACTGAAGTTCCAGCCCTCTTAATGATGCTTTCTGGCAACCAGTCCCTATCCTTAAGTTATCTAGGGGTCCCCAGCCACCAGTCACCTCATTAGCATAAAAAAGACCCTTCATGGGGTTTTAGAATCTCTTATATCAGGAACTGGAGTTAAAGACCAAATATTAGAGCAAAAATGCTCCTAGCATGCCTGTCACTCAAGAATTACAAGGGTTTTAGGAACTCTGTGTCAGGAACCAGAGGCAGAAACCAAATATATATGTCTTATGTCATGGCTATATACCTTAAAGAATATTCAATTCTGTTTGTATAGGGGTCTCAGCTAATGAACAGCTGATTACACTCTAGTGATAATGGCTCTCATCTCTGAGGAGCTATGAATAACATTTTATTTATTTATTTTATTGTTTTAAAAATATATTTTATTGATTTTTTACAGAGGGGAAGAGAGAGGGATAGAGAGTTAGAAACATCAATGAGAGAGAAACATCGATCAGCTGCCTCCTGCACACTCCCCACTGGGAATGTGCCCACAACCAAGGTATATGCCCCTGACCGGGATCGAACCTGGGACCCTCAGTCCGCAGGCCAACGCTCTATCCACTGAGCCAAACCGGTTAGGGCTATGAATAACATTTTAAACTGAAATTTAAAAATGAAATAATAGACTAAGTATGACACTCAAAAAGGGTAATCATGCTGTTTATCTAGTAACTAATAACTGTATGTCTAGTAACTGGAGTAGAATATTGAGGTTCATGCCCAGTGGTACCTTTATATGAACTAACATAATTTAAACTCAATTTTATAGTTGAGGTCACCAAGCTACATGGAAGGGACACTGTGGTGAATAAGAGAGACCTATATTGAGTATCTAGCTCAGTCCCTGGCACATGAGAAGTACTCAGTAAATGTTTATGAGATTAAAATTAGCTCACTATATTTAGCCTATTGGATAAAAAAATGATTAAGACCCAGTCTATTTCTTTGTATACTTTATATTCTAAATAGGAAGGATAAAACACAGTTTCAAATCATTTTAATAAATAGCAGAACCCAATTATAATAAGAGAGATACAAATAATATGCCATAGTGGTTAAAAGGAAAGAGAGCTCATATCTCATTGTTGAAATAGAAGGTCATGTATGGCATTGGGAAAGACTTCATAAAAAGTAGCATCTTGAGATTGTCCTCAAAAGTTAAGATTTCAGGAGGCAGAGGTAGATGAAGAAAACACTAATATCAATGGATTAAATGTTCCAATTAAGACCAAAATTATTAAGCTGGGTATAATAACCAAACCCAACTGATGCTATTTAGAAATGCATCTTAAAATAAAGGCTTCAGAAATCTTCAAAGTAAATGAAGGAAAAAGATATATCATGAAATGATAACCTAATGAAAGCTGGTATAGCTATCCTATATAATAAAGCATAATATGCTAAGTGTCCGACTGATTGGTCAACCATTCAGTTGACTGCTCGACCAGTTGCTATGATGTGCACTGACCACGAGGGGGCAGATGCTCCGACCTTAGGTTAGCTTGCTGCTGTGGTCCAGCTGATCGGGACTGGGTGAGCGAGCTGGACATGCCCTGCGGCCCTCCTGTAGTCCCTCCCCGGCCTGCCAGCCCCCATAGGCCCCAATCGCCAGCCAGGCCGAGGGACCCCACCTGTGTACGAATTCTTGCACCGGGCCTCTAGTATTACTATATCAATGTAGATTTAAAAACAGAAAACCTTTGAGTTAGCCTTGACTTGTAGTTCCATTATAACCATCAATAATTCCTTTAGTTTCTACTATCAAAACTCTCCAAATCTGACTACTTCCTGTGCCTTCAGTTTTATTCCTTCTTCATCCAAAGCATCATCAGACTCATCTGGGAAACCGTAATAGCCTTCTAACAATTGGTCTTTCTGTTTTCACTTTTGTCTCACTCAACTCTTCACATGTAAGTGAAATGTGTTCAGGTTACCTTGATACCCTCCCAGAAAGGCTTCCCATTACAGTTACGATAAAATCTGTGGACACTCACTTCCTCTCTTATCTGATTTTCTGTTCCCCCACCTTGTTCAGTGTGTTCCTTACACATACTGGTCATCTTTCTGTTACTTGAGCCTGCCACATGTGTTCTTTCCACAGTCCTTTGTATTTTCCCACTCTGCTTAGAACTCATGTCTTCCACATATTTACATATTTGTATGTTTCACTCCATTGCTTCGGTTCTTTGTTCAAATGTCACCACTTCAGAGAAGCCTTCCTTGATTCCTAGAATGTCCTGTCACACACTTAATATTTTTTATAGCATTTAACATTACATATTACTTAATTTTAAAAAATTATCTGTCTCTACTTTTAGAATGTAAGTTCTAAAGATAAAGTTTTTTATTTGCAACTTAACTGTACCCCCATAGACTAGAACAGTGACTGAAATATGGTAGGTGTTCAAATATCTGTTGAATGGATGAATGGAAAAATCTATTGTCATAATGCTAACCATCCCTATGCTCTGACTTTTAAGCATTCTTTTAAAATTATTTACATTAAAATTTACTCTTTTCTGCTTATGGCTATAATCTGACTTTTAATTCTAATTCTCTATTCCTGATATCTTTTCTGAGTATCAGTTCTCCTTTTGTAACACTTAAAAAACAACACAAATGTAGCTTCCCTAATTGTTATTCTGATTCCTCAAACTCTCTTAAAATTAAATTGAACACCACCACCAACAAAAACTCATCTTAAGAAAAATCCCCCAAGCCCTAGCCGGTTTGGCTCAGTGGATAGAGCGTCAGCCTGTGGACTGAAGGGTCCCAGGTTCAATTCTGGTCAAGGGCACATGCCCAGGTTGTGGGCTTGATCCCCAGTGGGGGATGTGCAAGAGGCAGCTGATCAATGATTCTCTCTCATTGATGTTTCTCTCTCTCTCTCTCTTCATCTCTGAAGTCAATAAAAATATATTTTTTAAAAAAATCCCCCAAACTAACAAAATCCAAAGCAAAGTCACTGTTCTTCTAGAATTAGTCTTGGTAAGTTATGTTGGTGTGTACCTCTTTGCCCCATCTAGTAACCTTTTTTATTTCCTTCCTTTTCCACCTCTAGCTCATGCTGCTTATACATGCTTATTACTTACCATATTTGTGAAAAGTCTCTTGAATCTTTTCTGTTTTACTTCAGGTCCCTGTCATCCTTGACCTATACTGATGTGATTCTTTTAACCTGCCTCCTTATCTCTGTGCTCTGATGCCTTTCATTTAATCTTCATGTTGCTACCAGGATTGTCCTTGTATTTTTCATATCGAGTCCTGATTGTAAGCTGTCAAGGGCTGTTGTGGCTGCTCAGGCATCATCAAGGTCTTAGGTTTATTCTTTTTGATGCACCATCTTTAGCAAGGATTTCTTCTCTAAAAATGCCTTGTGGTCCGTGATTACTGCTGCTGTTCTAGCTATCTTGTCTGTGTTTTGTCAGGAAGAAGTGGGAAGAGCAAGAATATCAGTAAATCCTCTTTTAAGAGCCTTCCAAGAATCCCAACCCAGTGACTTCTCCTAATACTGTTTAGCCATCCTTACCTGTTGGGCATCTGAAAGAGACTTTTATGAGAGATTTGCTTTTAGTGAAGTTCCTTTAGTAAAACCAAAGGGGAGGATGGATTTGGGGTAAGAAACCACCCGTATCTGCTATCCCTGTGTGCTGGCTACTGAGGTGCTTTCATGGGCTCAATTTACCACTCACTGCTGTGCTTCCTGGCTTTCCCTCAGGACTTTTGTTCTGCTTTAAATGTTTCCTTCCCTTTCTGCCTGGTTACCTTCTGATTGCTCCACAAGATTGAATTAAATGTAAAATCTTAGGTATAATTAAATATAACTCTTAGGTATAGAAACAGTTCCTCTTTCTGAGTTAACTCAAGCACTTGAATATGTGAGCAATTATGGGACACAAATCAGAAAGAAAAGTAAAATAAAAAAAATATGTGGAGACAAACGGTAATGTTTCATTTTCTTTCTTGTTTCCCTAAGCAAGAAACTGTTACCTTTTGATACACTCTAAACTTTAAATGTTATCTTTTAAAGGTTAATTGTGTCAAAGAAGAAACATCAAGATACTGTGGAAAAGAAAAGGATTTAATGAAAGCTTATTTATTCAGGTAAACTATTATTTTGAGTGCAGTGGACAAATATAAAAGTATACCTTTAGAATATTCAAGTACATAAAATATCACTAGTCCAGAATAAAGTTGTATGCCATGGGGGGGGCTGTCATATGAAGTTTAGCAAAAAAGTCCAGGTAATAGATTTGTTACCTGCTTCCTTATCTATAAAATGAGAATAATACCTAGTTTTACATGAGAATCTTATGTAAACTTCTATTACAAATGCCTGGCATGCCAGCACTTAGAAAATTTAGTGTTTCGCCCTGGCCAGAGTGGCTCAGTTGTTTGGGCATTTTCCTGTGCACCAAGAGGTGGGCACTTTGATTCTGGTCAGGGCACATGCCTGGGTTGGGGCTCCATCCCCAGTAGGGTGTGTGTAAGAGGCAACCAATCGGTTTCTCTCTCTCCTTCTCCCTTCCTCTTTCTCTCTAAAATATATAAAAACATTTTTAAAAAGGAGAAAACTTAGGGTTTTAAATAGGTCAGGCCATATTTTGAAATAAATGTACATACTTTATTTTTGAGGGATCTGCCAGTGTCCAGGGTACAGATTCCTCTGCACTTGGGTCTGCTGAACTGAGGTTTCTCAGAACTCTGTCCTCAAACCCTTGGGATTTGGCCTGGGAAATGGGGAGAGAATCTGTCTCCTCAAGAACCCACTGCTTGAGGACACTTCTTTCTTCTACTTGCCTCCTTCCCAGCCCAATTTGGGGTATCTGTATATACGTGACAGGGAGGTTGGTAAGAAACTCTGTTTGGACTCATGTTTATTCCCTAGTCTTTTTGTTAAACCCAGGGCCTAAGCTTTTCAAAGTTGACATAGTTATTAGTATATATTAAATAAATATTTGAGTGTATATTATGGCCAGCACTTTGGTAGGTGCATAGTAGATAAGACACACAGTCTCTAACATTAAAGAATTTACAGTCGTATATTAGAGAAACAAGTAAGTGGAATGCCAAGGAACTATTTCTGTAATGCTTTTTCAAACTTTTTACAGAGGCAACATATTACTGAGAGAATTCCCTACTGATACATTGTTCGACGAGAATGCCATCATTGCTCATGTTCTCTTGTAAGTAAAAGGGTTACCCATTCACTTCTTTATTTATTAGTTATCTAGTGATTTCATTTTAGACAACCATGATCCATTAAAATATTTTACAGTTTTAACATTATATTGGTAGGCATCAATTTCATATAAATTGCTGGACTGTCTTCCCACATAGAGGATATAAAATTTCTTAAATGTCAAACAATACAGAAACATGTAGGTACTCTGAATAAAAATTGGAGGTGATACAACACAACTACATGGGTCATACTATTGCTTTTGCTTTTGATTCTACCTGAGTAGTGAGGATTTTACCAGGTAAGAAGCTCATGTTTGCTATTCTCAGTAGTATTTTTAGTGTCTAGCATCCTTCTCACCCAGCTGAGTCTGTAGCTCTGTGCCTGCTCAGTAAATGCAGAAAGAGTTCAAATAATCCCAGCCCATACTTGAATGTTTATTGAGAGAGAGAGAGTGAATTTAAGTTAACTTCTCTGGCATGAAGTCTTTAGGCCTGAGATTCAGGCCTACCTGCAATTTACTTCTGAATGAAGTCTGGTATTCTCCTTTGTTAAGGACATGAGTTTACATAAACATTCCCAATTTAACCTTGTTGTAGGCCTGTTACCAACTAAGATCTTTGCTGACATTGGCTATCTTTGTCTTCCACTTGGTTCCTTTCTTGTCTGACTGGATTCCCAGATATATTGGGTGAAAGTTAAATTACAGGAAACTTAAAACATATGGGTGAAAAGTCGTGTTTATCACTTTGCAAATGGATACTTTTAAATGTTCCAATACTCATAATATATTATCAAAAGGTATTTGGAAAGGATCCTAACCACCAAGGATCCTGAGGCCTCTAGGCTAAGCAGCCAGTTATAAGGAATGAAAGATGGCCTTTTGAAGAAGGAATGCCACATAGCTGGTGGACTGCCTTAGAAGAGGATAGAGAAGGGGTCTCCTGAGGAGGGAGGGTCATAAAAGGCTTAGCAAAATGGCCAAGTAATAGATGTGATATTTGTAACACAATAGATACCTGATGACTGTCTTTGATCCAGAAATGAGGTTGAAGAAACAAGGAAGATTCTTTGAGGGATGGGAGAAGGGCAGATAATATTGTCGGTGATAAGTTTGACAGCAAATCCTGGAGCTGCAGGTGCACCTTGGACAATCTGATAACAGGAGATTTAGACAACAATTGGGCCTTAGATGTGGAGTGGCTGTCCATGCTGGGGACCCTGTTCTCTGAACTGGCTAGCCTGTGGAGCTTATGTCATGCAATCCTGTGGGGGTGTCCTGTTCCCTGTGCTGTGCTAATGCTGATGTATAGAACACTAATTCCTCAGAGATTATTCCCCATGTTTCTCCCATGTGCCAAATACCTGTTAGACACTGGGGATTCAAAATAGAATAGGGTGCGGCTTTTGTTCTCTAGTAGTTTAGCATTTTGTTGCAGAGATATATATAAACAAAATATGATGTGGTAAGTGAAATAGAAGTACTAGTATGTATGCATAGGGGCTTATGGACCCACAGGGTAGGGAATAGTTTTGTCTAGAATGAGGGTGGATATTTTTACTAAGAAGCCTCCCTGAAGGAAGTGGCACTGGGGATGAGTCTGCAAGCATAAGGAGTTTGCTTGGTGAAGAAATGGAAGGCGGGGAAATAGTGGGAACTGTGTGAGCAAAGGCATAGAGGTAAGAATAGCTTGGAAAGCATAGGTTTTACTGGAGTATCAAATGTGAAGCAGGGGATGAGGGCAGAGAAGTAGGCCCGGCGTCAGATGAAAGGATGTTTGTTTACCATGTGAAGAAGTTTAGGCTTCTGGAAAGCCACTGAAGGGTGAGGAGTCCAGCTCCACCTCAGAATCCTTGTGTCATCTTTCAGACCCACCATGTGCAATTACAAGGCTTTGCCTGGCAGGCAACAGAGGGGGAAGTGCCCTGTCCACACCAGACCTGGCACACAGCCCGTGCATTGCAGTTTTCTAGAGAAAATCGAGGTCAAGGACCCAGGCCCCTCCTCCATCCCTGGCAGTCCCTTAGGCCAAACATGCCCTTGTGTACACCTACATTCCTAGCCCAGTTGTCTCCAGTCCAGGCTTCATCATCAGGGACCTTAACTGAGGCACCTCCCAGGTACTTCTGATAAGAGCCTCTTAGGTCTGCTTTTCCCTTCCCACTCCAGCCCTTCCCTCTTTCCTTCACCCCAGTCCACCATTCCATAAAGAGGCAGGAGCCTTCTGTTTGGTGTTCCTTGGAATGTGATGACAGCTTGCATCTGAGCTTTGAGCACTTGCCTCTCGCTTGGGGCTGTTCCATGGCAGGGAAGGGAATGAAACATTCTGGAGCTGGTGCCTCTCTCTGCCTCTTGCTTGCACTGTCGCAGTAAGTGAATAAATGCTGGATTGTTACCTTTAGCTTGGCTTGCTGTCCTAATTGAGCAACACCTGATTGCTCAACGGAGGGCTGCAGGAAGGCAGGTGATGTGATTAAATTAGTACTGGAGTGCTCTTTCTAGTGAATGTGACAGCTTCGTGGAGGTCCAAGAACATGGAGAAACCTTTGTGTCGCCTTTGTACAATCTAGGGAGTGGAGTAGAGAGAGCAAAGGGGAGATTTTCCTTTTAATGCTTAGGAGGTGAAGTTAAGGGGACTTGGTGATAGTTAATTTGGTAATCAGCAAAATGACAAACTTTAGTCCCTGATCTCTTTTTTTCCACCTCATTCTACTATAAATCTAATCTGACCACCATCTGAGTAGGCAAGGAAGAGCAAATTTTCAGAAGATAATCTAATTTAACAAGACAAATGCCCATCATAACTGAGTCTCAAGTATAGAGCTGTAGGAACTTGAGCCCCTGGGAAGTACAGACCTAAGTGTTGTTAACATCCAGGGTTCTAGGACAATACCAACACTTAGGAGAAGAAGAAACTTAAGGGGGAGGGTGGTATAAATGTCAAGTAGTATTCCAAAGAGGCAGTAGCCTCATTTTTATTTACTACATTTTTCAGAACACTTGTATCTGAACTGAAAGCTTACATTTAGAATATATTGCTTTACTTGCCTTGCCATTTAAATTTGTTCTTTATATAGAATGCTTTGATTGAGACCACAATTGGTCTCAGTGATCCACAATTATACTTGAAATTTGCTTCTTTGTCAACTGGAAAAATCAAGGTTTAAGATAATTTCTTATTCTCAGAATATACAAAAATGCAATTGGAGAAAAATTAACTTAATAAACTCTGATAACAGAAAAATAAGCATATACTTAAGGTAATCTTTACACTACATTTTTAAGGAATTATATATATTTTGGATCATTATGGGCAATTTTTTTATAGGTTATTTAAAATATTCCTAAAATATCATTGATTAAAATGTACTAAATGGTCTATTAAAATTTTCTCACATTGATTTTTCAGAATACAGTAAGTGAATAAATCAAGTGTTTCAGTGGTTCTCAACCTGTGGGTCACGACCCCTGAAAATATATCCTGCATATCAGATATTTACATTACGATTCATAACAGTAGCAAAATTACAGTTATGAAGTAGCAACGAAAATAATTTTATGGTTGGGGGTCACCACAACATGAGGAACTGTATTAAAGGATCGCGGCATTAGGAAGGTTGAGAACCACTGGTTCAGAGTCTAGCAGAGTACTATGTATGTAAGAAAGGGATAAGTCCAACACTCTGAAGGGTCTCAGATGTTACCCAACCTGCATAGATACTTGCAGAAACACCAGGTCTCTGAATCAGAAATCAGACTACACAGCCAGTGGCCAGGGTAACTTGGTATACTAGATCCCTATTTCCAGTTCTGCACAGAGCAAAAGGGTGAGAGCCATATGCTTACACCTGTACTTAAAGTGAACTTTGGAGAAAAGAACTCAGAAATTATGAATCGACAGGAGGCTGGCACATTTACTCTGGAGAGACTGAGTATTTATCTTTTTCTCTGGGATGTAAACAAATTCTCTGGTGAGACAGCCCAGGAAGGTCTGAACCCTTCAATATTATAAGCCTATGTCTCTGGGGAAGATAAGAAAGGTTTTATTATACTTTGAATGACTCCAGAGAAAAGGAGACAAATAACTTTATTTATTTACTTACTTATTTACTTAGCTTTAAAAAAATTTTTTTATCTTTATTGATGAAAGTATTACAGATGTCCCCTTTTCCCCTCCCATTGACCCTTTCCATCCCACTCCCGCCCACCCACCCGTCCTCCCCACAGGCCTTCACTGCACTATTGTCTGTGTCCTTGGATTATGCATATATGCATATAAATTATTTGGTTAATCTCTCTCCCGCTCTTTCCTCTGAGTTTCTGTTGCATGCGTCCATGCCTCTGGATCTATTTTGTTTGTCAGTTTATTTGTTCATTAGATTCCACATATAAGTGAGATCATGTGATACTTCTATAATGTGAAAAGGAGTCATTGTGAGATACCAGTTTTCATGTTGAGGAGGTTTAGATTGTATGGGAACACAGAAATCCAGGGAAGATTGCCTTCTAATAGAGAACACTGAGAAATCCAGGGAAGATTTGTCTTCAGAGTTTTACAAGAAACATGATATTGATTTACAGGAATGGAATGGGGAAGTTGGGATGGGGGAAGGATTGTAGGTAGATTCTTAACTCATCAGCTTTTAAAAATAAATATTTTAAAATTGATTTTTAGAAAGAGAGGAAGGGAGAGAGAGAGAAAGAAACAGGGATGTGAGAGTAAAACATTGACTGCCTCCTGCACGCTTCCCACTGGGGATTAAGCCCACAACCTGGGCATGACCTTTTGGTGCGCAGGACGATGCCCAACCAACTGAGCCACACCGGCCAGGGCTTAACTTATCAGCTTTTTTTGGTATCTTTTGTGCTTTGAACCATATAAAGATGTTACCAATTTGAAAAATAAATGGAATTTAAATTAAAATAAGAATTTGTCTTTGTTTGTTGTTTTTTTTTAAATAAATCTTTATTATTCAGATTATTACAGTTGTTCCTCTTTTTCC